TTAAAGCCAAGGAAGGGTAAAAATATTTTAAGTCAAGTGATAGCGATTGCTGTATGAGTCCTACAATTTTTGAATCCAGCACGGGCAACGCTGCTAGTATAATATATAAAATCCAGACACTGGTCTGGAAATTTGACATTTTCTTGTTAGTTTCACCACTCTGCAATTCTGTGCTGACTTAGGACAACTTGGAAAAGGGTGTCATACCCTAACACAAGGTAGGAAAGATTTTGTACACAAGCGAGTTTAAAGGCGGCTTTCCATATATAATTAAATGTTGCTTCAACAGTTGATTGAGGAAAATTGGGAGATCCATTTTGATTAATTAAATATCACCTGAAACTGGAACAATGACAACAGGTCACACGGTTGACAATTAATACAGACAAAACTTGAGTCTCACTGCCAGGAACTTTCTCAATTCTGGACTTATCTTTAAGTTATAGCTTAGGGCAACGATTCGCAACATAGGTTGCATGTCCCACCAGTGGGGCATCCATAATATTTTGATGGGACATGTGTAGGATATGCACCCTTCGGCTTGCTATACCAGCGTGAACTCGAATTTAATTTTGCATTATTATTTCATGATTAAAATGATCAAAATATAATTCAAATATTTTATATTTCTGTTTTTCAGTTCTCTATTTTATGTTTTGAAACTATATATATATATATATATATTTAACTGTCTTTTTGTTTTTGTTTTTTAAATTTTTCTCTTTCATAGATGCCATTGTCTTTGGAGGCTTGTTTAGATGCCAAGTTAATAGCCTTTTAAGTTTCCTTCATGGGAATTGCAGTAAAATTTTGAATATGTAAGAATTAAATATTACAGGAGGTACCAAGAGTTTAGAAATACCAAAGTAGGGCATAGCCCAAAATTGGTTTAGGAACCACTGATGAATATAAAATCTTTATTGGAACATTTCCATCTACGAATCCTTCGCAAAACAGGGAGGTCAGTGTCGATCCTTCCCGCAAAACGGCAGGACCCGGTATATATATATATATATATATATCCATTTTCGATCCTTCATATTTAAACCATATATTTAAACAATATAAAGGTGGTGTAATGGATAGTGGCTTGGATTGGAGGAATCAAGAGCCGAGTTCAAATTCCAGTCGAATCCATTACATCTACTAATGTGCTAACACCCTTGGAAAGGTATGAATTGTCTTCTCCTCCAGCTATGGGGTAAAATAGCCGGACAGACTGGGCTCTATAGCCTTGATGGCAACTGGTCTAGGAGAAGGACAACTCTGAATTCAAAACCTGTGGAGGGTTGTTTGGGAACCTTGTGGCACCCTAGTGCACCAGGTCTCTGAATCTGCCCTCAAAAGTGTGGATGGTCCTGCACAACCATCACCACTATAATCAAATCTCATGTGCCACTGTCGGGCTGTCGGTTTCTGGAAATTGATCTGTTGATCATACGTCAATGCGACAGGAGAATCAATTTTTATAAAAGATATAAGCAAAGATATAAACGCATCATTAAAGAAACAGAAAAAGAAAATTGAAAAAAAAATGAAAGAAAAAATGAATAGATGAAATTAGAATATCGTCCGAAGAAAGAACTAATTTTAAAAAAAAAGAAATGAAAATGTTCATGGTAATTCTGATTCATATGAGTTTTTGTTCATGACAAAAAAAGATTTAGTGATCTAAAAGACATTTTAAAATTTATCAGTCACTCCTTTCCTTTGGTTTTATACAATACAAACAACATATGAATACCGAAAAAGTCATTGGTTTTTTGTTCTGAAATTGACCAGGGAAGGTGGTAACAGAAAAGTTTATACCCCACCACCACCACTAGTTCTCCAGCTGCCTTATGAAAAATTCTTACTGGAACAGGGAAAATAATTCAAGACAAAGGAAAAACATTTACCCCACCAGCTTCTGTTTAGTCCCCACCCCTTCAACAAAAATGGTCCAGCCAAAGTTGTTTTTCTGCCCTGGTAAAAAATCCATTCAATGTGGCTGACAAGAGTCTAAACATCTCCTTATTTAGGGTAACCATGGGAGCAAGCAATTTATTAATGTGTTTTGTTTATATAGAGAGAAAGAAGGAATGATTAAGAGAGAGAGAGGAAAAGACTTGTTTGAAGAGAAAAAGAATCATTAAGAAAGAGAGGGAAAGCATTTGACATGAGTTTATTGTTTGGCTTCTACTATTTCTTCTTCTGTTGGTCCCCCAGACAAAAGTAAACAACAGTTCTCCTCCACAAGAGAAGAGAAAAGAATAAAAACTTGTTTGGTCCAGGACTGGCTTAGTTTGGCTTAGCAGTAATGGTAATGGCAGTGGTGGTCACAACTCGGTAGTGGGGGGCCGGAGGGGGTTTGGGTGGAAAAAGATTGAGAAGGGAGGTTAGATTAGAAACGTAATGCTACTCCACATCCTTTCTCTTGTTTATGTATGTTGTGAGAGAGTCTGAGAGGGGAGAGAGAGAGAGAGATGCTTAAATATGCACAGTTGTTGTTGTGCAAACCACTCATCATTACTAAGCGCCATAGCTGGTTGAATAAAATAAAAAGCAAAGAAGTATATGTGGAGGTGAAAAGAAAAGGTATTTTAAAGGCTTGAATGAAAAAGCAGGGATACTCAAAGGTGTGGGGAAGGGTGATGAGCAACAAGATCAGAGCCCAGACAAGAGAGTGAACGAAAGGCCAAAAAGAGGGTGGTACGATAAGATAGATGTTTACTGAGAAGTGTTCTATTGAAAGAAAAAAGAAAGGGAAAGAAAGAAGGAAAAGGTCCAAAAGAGGAAAAGAGAAAAGAAGAAGAAAAAGGAATTATAAAAAAAAAAAAGAAAATAGAGAAAAAAAGAGAAGGAATAAAAAAATGCTAAAACAAAAAGAAAGGTAGAAGGAATAGAAAACACTTGAGGAAGATAGAAAAGTGGATGAAATAACAGGGTGGGAGGGATATAGATAAGAAGGAAGTTATAAAGAAAAAGACAAACAGTGTTGGAAAAAAAAGGAAGTGAGAAATAAGATAGTTTTTGAAAAGATCGACAAAGAAAGAGATCCTTTCTAGAATGAACAGAAAGAAAAGAAAACAGAACCCACTTAGAAAGGAAAAAGTAACTTACAAAAATAAACAGGTAAAAATAAAATAAATTAAACAGCCATAATTGTGTTTTAATAAAAGTTAATAACTACCATATTTCTAACCTAGTACAAGGTTCATTGGACCACCTAGTGAGAATCAAAAACAAATACCTTAACACAAACCATTGCAATTAGGGTTTGATGTTTGTAATGTTTGAACAGGACCACAAGAGCAAAAAAGGAAGATTATGTTGCATCAAATGTCCAAATGGGAAAAGGTCTTTTTATCTTAAAAATCAGCATTTGAAATTCTGTCTTTTATTTGGAAGGAAACACTCGCCATGGGAATGGTTTAGAAATATGCAACTCACTCAGCCACAAAGCAGATGTTTTCTATCAAAACTGTCAACAATAAGAAAAAGAAGAAAAAATAGATTCTTTTTATTCCGAAACTGTCGAAATGACGTTAGTTTTCATTAAATAAATAAAGCATAAAATCAGTTTTTGAAAATCTGGTTTTACCTGGGCTTGAAATCATAACTGAGCTGGATCACCAGTCCTCAGTATGTTTATTATAATAGGTTTGAATGATATGAAAATATATATGTGGAGGAAATAAAACACCAAGACAAAAACAGAAAATGAGATAAGGAAAGGAAATGATAAAAATAAGATTATCACAGAGGAGAAGAGAAACAAAAGCTGGAAAATGAAGATTAAAAATGTAGAGTGAAAGAAGAAAAAGAAATCTGTGGTGGGGGTGTAGGCAAAGAAGATGATTTGAAAAGAAACGAAAAATAGGGCAATGATGAAGAAAAAGAAGAATGAATTAAGAAAGAATTGGGAAAAGAAGACTTAAAAGATAAAAGTAATTATTTTATAATATAGATTGAGTGAATTCAGAAAAAGAGAGAGAAAGAATGCAGAAAAATAAGAAGAAAAAACCAAGAGAGTAGGCATTCATAAATTAGAGAAAAAGATGGGATTCAGAAAGAGAATTGCAGAAAGTGAAGAGGAAAAAAGCAAAAAGAGAGATGTTATCAATTCTGATTAGTAGAAGAGTAAAAAAATCATAAAATAATAGTCAGCAAAATGAACATGAATCATTAGTAATGAAACTGATCCTCCACTAGGTGCCCCATATTTCTAGTAAACTAAACTATGCTTAGTAGAACAAATATGATAGAGGTGAATTACAAAGAAAGGAAGGATTGCAGAAAGAGAGAAAATAAAATAAAGAGATCACTGTCTTATAAAGAGAGGGAGAAATGAATTCAAGCGATAGGAAACGATTGAAGAAGTGGGGAAAAGAAAAAAGATGAGCCAAAAATTGCTGCTGCTGTTGCTGCTGTGGTTGGATAAGTGTCTGGCCTGCTATCTCTCTTTCACTGGACTGTTTGTGTTGGTCAATCAGCATCCAGACGAGGACAGATATCAAAGGGTCAGCTTTAGCTTTCTGAATCTGTGTTGTCTTAGCTGGAAATAGAAAAGGAAAAAAAAGAAATGGGATTTTATTAGGTTCCAAATATCTTTTTATTTATTCTCGTGACACAAAAGCAAGCCTGGAACTCGCATTAGCAAATATGAATTTTGTGTTGTTCATTATTATCATCACCTGATATGTGAAAAAGAGGTTTTATTTACATTTTTGGCTTATTTGTGTATCTGTTCTGTTTCTCAGCTACACTAAATAAGAAAGTGTACTGTCATTTTTAGATAAATTTTGCCACAGTGGCGTAGCTGGGGGGGGCAGACCGCTTCTGTGCCTGCCCTTTGGAGGGGGGTGACACAATCCTCCCCAACAAAAATTTTTTCAACAGGCTAAGGTGCCAAAAATAGTCTGAAAACAGTGGTGGAGACACAGGGTTTAGACTGGAATATGACCCCCAGAAAATTTAGGAACCCCCCCAGTTTTGTCCCCCCATCAAAAATTTCTAATAAATTGTGAGTAGGAAAAATAGCAATGTTTTCATCTTTTGATTCCGAACTGATTGTTTGTGGTATTTGATTTTGTCTTGCATCATACATCTAAACATTAACGTGCAGTCAGTAGAGTAAAAGTAGAGGTAGAGCATGTATGAAAATTGCTAACCATTCATATAAGGGTGAATCAGGGTCATTTGGGTGACATTTGAGCGGAGCCAATCTTTAGAGGGACTGTCGGTTCCTGGATACATAATGAAACGTATTTAAGATTCTTCTGACATAAAGATCAACATTCATTGATTTTTTTTTTTTTTCTAATTATTCGCGGATTGCCTTGATATCATTAATTACTTACCCATAATATCATGGCTCATCTCAACAATTCTCTTGACGACATTATTGACATTAAAGTTGTGACACCTTCCTCTCTGTTTCGCCCTGGGTATCCAGAACTACATCCACATCCTGTATATGATATATAATGGATATATCAGAACCAGGTTTTTTTTGAGGAATTAGAAATACTTAATTACTGGTATTCCGAAAAATAATGGTAGCACCTTTATCCCAGCAAGTTGAAATAATTAAGCCTCAACTTTAAACACTATGAAAGTGTAAAATGTAAAAGACAATAAAAATTCTATAATGTAATTTAAATATATATTGATATGCCACAAATGAGTCCAAATTTCAAACAAAGCTTCTTTTCCTGACATCTTGAAGAACAAACGATAATGAGGACACCCCACACCACAAGCGGTCAGTGTTCTGGGAATGATGAAAATCAAAAGTCCTCTGATCGGTGGTGGATTTGAGGAATGCCAACACAACTGTTATAATCCAATTCTGACCTGGGAGGTATTCTCCCACACACAATATCCCCCAATAACTGCCGTTTTTTTCGTAAAATGTTAAAAAAAAAATATATAAAAATTATTTTTAAAAAAATTTATGGTCTACAAGCTTTTTCTTGTCCTCTCTACAGGCAGTCCACTTCCCATCTCTTGTGGCTCTCATTGTTTTTTTTATCAACTCCCCATGTTCTTAGTGGCGTAACTAAAGGTGGTGAGGGCGAAAGGAGGTCATTTCGTTTTTGTCTGAAAAACTGGTGGAGACGCAGGATTTCACAGCAGAGGCATATCATTGGACAGAAATAATTTGAGACCCAGTTTGTCCCCCTGTAGAAATTTTCAATTGTCAAATTTGTCAGTAGGAAAAATAGCAATGTTTTCAGCCGCTTTCATATATATATATATATGCATATATATATATTACTAAATAAGATACATATGATATTTATCGGATATATGGTGCAATCGCATTTTAATAACAAATTCAAAGAAATATTCATACAAAGTGCAAAATTTCAATGATTTAATTTGTTGAGATACAATTTTCCATCGTCGAGCAAACAATTCAAATAGTATACATTAAACCCCAAATCGGAACTTTTGGGGTGAAAAGAATCTGAATCGAAAAAAATTTAGCTATTTTCCGATTCCAAAACGATTCTTTTAAATTTTAACTTAATTTTCCAATATTGGTACTAATGATAAATATTTATTGTTTTTAAATTATCACTAAAACTAAAATCATAACATCAAAATACGATGTAAATTTATTCTTACTTTGTATAAAGAAAACAAAAATAAACTTTGCACAAATTCAATGCAGTTGATTGACGACAATGTTCCCAAAAAAATGCTTTAAAATTAAATTGCATTTTTGTCAAGAAAATACTTTCAAACATCATTGATAATTAAAAATGGCACCAAAAAGGAGGAAAAATTGGACACTGAAAATTACATCAACTAGCCAGTCGAGACTGTCGGATCTGGGATTGAAAACGAGCTTTTTTAATTTCTAAATCCCAATTTAATTTAAAAGGATTATATTGAAGTTTCTCGGTTTTGTTTTGAAACATGAGACCCTCTTATGTAGCGATCTGGAATCATATTTTAAATAAATAAATATATTATATATATATATATATATATATATATATATATATATATATAATTCTTTGCAAATAGAAATAAGTGCAGAAAAAAGATAACTATTTATATATATATATATATATATATAAAAGACAATAAAAATTTATAATGTAATCATATAAAACTAATGCAAAAAAATTAATGATTTAAATAAACGAACACAAAAACAATTCAAAGAAATGGTTAAAACCAACACAGCTATAATGACAATATTCTCTACACATGACAATAACTGACGTTATTTTCAGTTTTATATAAATTTGTCGTTGTTAACATTGTTTTTTTGTTATTTTTAAATTCATTCTTTTATTGAAAGCATATTGACGAAACTTTCGTTTTCTGTTGCTACATATATATATATATATATATATATATATATATATATATATATATATATATATATATATACATAGCTTCAATAACAGCAATCAATTTATATGAATTATTCATAAATACAAAGTTCTTGTTTTTCTCTTAAATAATTCAATAATATACAAAACCCAACCCGTTATGAATGAAAATATTGTTTTATAAATTTCGTTGCATTAGTTCTTATTGTAAGCTATCTGTTCAAGAGACATCTTTCAGGTATGAATAGATGTTGTTCTTGTTTTTACCTCAGTACAAAGAGGACAACGAAACAGGGAATGTTGTACTGGAAAAATGCTATTGAAATGAGTTATTGCTTTGGAGTCATCATTAGTTACGTTCTGAAATTCATTTTAAATTTTGCTAAGTACATTGGACGAAACGTGTCAGCAACTATTACAGGTTTTTCTGTGTCATTATATATATATATATATATATATATATATATATTTCAATAATGGTGCAATCAATTTTACAAATTCGCCAATTATTCATACAAATAAAGTTTAATGATTTAATTGGCGAGAAACCCATCGTCGCAACAATTCAAATAATATACAAAAACCCTGAACCTGTATTTTCGAAAAAGTCCTGTTTTTATAAATTTCTGTTACAAGGTTCATTTTTTTGGTACAAGTTGTCTGAACAGACAGACATCTTCAGGTATGGAATAGATGTTGAACTGCTTTTTAAATTTAGTAAAAAACACCAAACGAAAATATATGTATAACGTATCCGAAAATGCTTTTGAAATGATTTATTGTTTTGGATGGATAAATTGCTGAGTTTGATTTTAAATTTTGCATTAATTTGTGCGTTCTTGTAATAAATATGGTAATAAGTGAATGTCTTTATATATAAATTTTATATATATATATATGAACTATATATATATAATTTTGTTTATATGGGACTTCTCGCAATTAAATCATTAACCTTTGTATTTGTTTTTGTATGAATAATTCATGAATATATATATATATATATATATATGTTTGCAAATACAAAATAATTTTAAAACAATAAAATGAGTTTAAAAAAGAGCTTGAGACGAATTTCTTTAAAGAAAATAGTAAATATACAGTAGAAGAAATAACAATAAAAATTTCTATAATGTAAGACTTTTTTTCACATAAAGTGTAAATTCAACTGAAGTCTGTATATTTTTAGTGGCTCTGCTTCCAGTGACCACTTAATTGCTTCCAACTTCATGATTCCAACTCCACAGCCCTGGTTGTAGGCATAAAATTGTGTTCAGAATATATTCATTTTAAAAAAATTGTGTTCAAAATATTTTATTTAAAGGCATAAAATTGTGTTCAAAATATATTTATTTAAAGGCATAAAATTGTGTTCAAAATATATTTATTTAAAGGCATAAAATTGTGTTCAAAATATATTTATTTAAAGGCATAAAATTGTGTTACCAAATACCAACCCACTTCAAAATACAAGAAGTGTCTGGGGATTTCTTACCTTGAATTTTTGTTGAGCACTAAAAGATAAATATTACTATTACGGTCATGAAAAGGAGATGAAATTTTTGTTGATGCATGTTTTGATGACCTGTCTGTATGACTTGCTTGTCTGATAGTGAGAATGTCACATGTTTGTGTGTATGTCTGTGTAGAGGAGAAAATTGTGGTCAACTCTCATTGGTTTAGACAGAGTGAATTAATGATAATTATTTTATTATAATAATTTTTTGACACTATAATTCATTTTTAATGGGAAAGAGCCAATGATGCATAAAAGATATCAGTTTCCTTCGTTGGAGTCAATTTCACAATGCCATATACATCCTTGTGAAAATTAATTGAAACAGCCGCTTTAGTTTCCTTTCTTTCACCAGACTGTCAGTTTTCGACCCACTGGAGTGACAGGGTGTCATCGATTTCTATTTTTCCCTCAAATTAGGTCATTTGCAGTGGTGTGCAGTAATATGGGTCTATTTTTGTTTATATTTTCTGTGATGTACACTTTGAGGTATTTACAAAAGCATTATATACACCTTTGTGAACATTAATTGAAACAACTGTTTTAGTTTCCTTTCTTTCACTATACTGTCAGTTTTAGACCCACTGGAATGATGGGGTCTTAATCGATTTCTATTTTTCCTCAGATT